AGAGCAGTGAACTCTGAATAAAAGCAAGCCTAGACATTACGTTGTTAATTTTCATGTTAAGACCATGTTTCCTTTAGAAACTCTTTTTATTTCACGTGAAATAGAAATTTCCAGAAACTGTGTTTTCTTTCTCTGCTATTTTTTCCCTTCTGTTTTCCCTCTAAGAGATCCTTACCTATTGTCACTTGCATGTTATATCTTGAAAGTGTCAGCCTCATTAAATTAATGTCTGATGTAATATTGACATCTTCACGGAATACAATCCTTTTTCATAAAGTGATTTTCCCTGATATATAAAGGATGCTCCACAGATGCCAAAATAATTTTATTTTTATTTTAGCCATTTTAACAATTCATTTCAATAAAATCCGTACAAGACATTGAGCCAGACACTGTGGGAGTCATAAAGATAAACAGACGTATTTCCTCAGGAACCTGCAGTCTTGAAAAAGAGGCCACATCAGATTATTCTCTTGTGGGGCATAGTGTGAAAAATGACTGTAAAGAGGTTCAGAGAGGTGCTGTGAATGCACCAAAGAAGGAGAGATTACTTCTGGATTGATAGTCAGGGAGAACTTCCTGGAAAAAAAAGTCTTGATAAAGAATGGGGAAAGTCTGGCAAAATCAATGGCAGGAACAAGTATTCAGGGTAGCAAGGAACTACAAGCAAAGCTGCTAGGGCAGGGATGCAGGGTGCACTTGGGGGTTGCAGTTGGAGATGGAGATGAGGCAGGAAAGGAGGTCAGGTCCCCACTGTCAGCATGATAAACACCATGGTCAGGAGTTTAGACTTTATTCTGGGATAATGGACAAGCATTGTCTCACTCAAGGCTTTGGAACGAAGGAAATGACATGATCAGAGTAAAATTCAATGCAATTCAGCAAAATGTATTGAGTAGCTACAATGCACCCAGCCCTGTACTTAGTGTAGTGTATTCAGAGACACATTCTTAGTGCTGCCTTCAATGTCCCTGGAGTCTAGTGGGGGGATGGATATACAAACAGATAATGTCAACAAAGTATAGTATATTGAGCTCTGTTAAACAAGCGGGAGGCCACTGGCCTGAGGTTCTCTCCCTATTTTGAGTTCCTACTTAACAAACTGAAACCTAACTTAGGAGTATATTTTTTGTAACAGATAGTTGAGTTTCAGCCAATCACAAACAGCTGAGCTTCAGCCAATCACAGGCACCCAACGGATCCAACCACACCCAAATAAGGCAAATACCTAACTTAGGTAGCCAATAGATAATGTCTTTACTTTGCTTCTGTGTTTCGCCTATAAAAGCTTGCTACTCATGCTGCTGGATGGAGCTCTCTCAACCTCTTCTGGTTCTGATTTCTACCCAATTCAGGCATCATTCTTTGCTCAAATGAACTCTGTTAAATTTAATTTGCCTAAAATGTTTATTTTAACAGCTCAAATAGATGTATCTAAAGGAGGCTGTGAGGACCCACAGAAAGTAATCTGGGGACTAAGGGAGAAGTTGGTACCTAACTTGAGTCTTGCAAGGACAGAAAAGAGTTATTTGAATGAAGAGAAGAGAGAAGGATATTCCAGTTTAAGAGTATACTGTGAGAAAAATCACAGAACATCAAATAATACTGGATGTGTAAAGAAAGACAGCAGCTCCATTCTACTAGTAGGCTCAGTGTAAGGCAGAGAGAGGGGAGTGAGGGAGAAGGGAAGATGAGGGGCAGGGACTATGCTTTGGAAACTTCACTCACGATGGAGGCACAGAAACCAGGAGACTATTATAGAGGTCAAATCCCACAGGTGTTACATTAAGGAGGCACATCTCAAACAGAAATTCCAGATTTTCCATGGGACTCTCACTTAAAGGGGTTTAAGTATATATTTTGCCCTGCAACTCTTATTAATACTTCAAGTTATTTCCTAATCTTCAGCATCCTCAGAACTCTCATCTCTTATTCCAGAAGAATCCTTACCCCATCTTCAGTGTTCCATTCCTACCACCCTGGTTTTTTAATCCCCTTTCTCTTCTCTGCCCCTCCAGCAGATCACATTCACCCTGTGAGTGATATACTTTTGCTCTGTTTAGTTTTCTGCACCCACTCCAAATCTCTACACACAGATTTTTATCCTCTCTCTTCTCTGCCAATAGGGCTTGATGGCGTCAGAGCAAGTGGACTACTTTGCAATGGGGAGTGAGGTTGTGGGAGGCTCTGAATTCACTCACAAATGTTAACAATTTGGGGACAGTTACAATAATTAAAATATAAGACGATGAGAAAGAGCTAGAGAAGTGGCAGGATAATGGAATAGAAGACATGAAAGTGAGTTAACTTGTACAAACATACTCAGGGCCTGACAACTAACCAAAGTAGGACAGAGGCAGAGAGAGGTAGGATTTTAAAACTGCTTTGTAGTTTGAATCTAGAAAAAAACCCAGTAGTGTGATATTATCCGCCATGGCTGGGGGATACGAATAGAGAAACGTATTTAAGAGATAATAACAGAAGATGATAAACTTGGCTTTGTATATGCTTAGCCCGAGGTGTCAGCAAGATATTCAGGTTGTATTTAAGAACTAGAGTACTTCAGTCTGATGCCATATACCAGCCATCTCTAAACCTGGGTGTTACAAATCACCATTCATAATCAAACTCTTCTGGAAAAATGACCGACAACAGCCTGTTCTTGGAGATTGTTTGTACATGGATAACTCTTGCAGGAAATAAACCCATTTAACTTTGCTTCCAACACTCTTTCCTAACTTTTGTTGTTTATTTATTTATTTTTTTTCAGAATACCTCTTAGTATCCTATGGAATGTTTTTTTCAGGGACAATGTTCTGAGAAATGCTCATTAAAACACTACAGATCTCTAATCAGGGGAGGCTTAAGATAGAAGGAACTTGCTATGGGAGAAGGCAGTTTGTTTGCATGGGAGTGAGAGTTGAAGCATTATGAACTGCTGAATCACCAAGAGTGAACAGAAAGAGAAAAGGAGGTTGGAGATAGAGCCTTGATAAACACCATTTGATACCTCAAATGGCACATAGAGAATATAATTTGGAGAGACAGCAAGTTGTAATAGCAAAATCATGGGTTTCAGAGTGTGACGAGTGATCTAATCTTTTTAAGATTCCATTTTCTTTCTGAAAATTAATGACTACCTTGTTGGCTTGTGTTGAGATTTAAAATAGATACGTGAAATATCGTCCACATAGAAAATACATAATCCACTTTCAATAAATACTATTGTTAATACTGTTTTCATTTAAGTTTTTCTTGACATATTGAAGCAAAACCTTGATGAATACACTGCTATATTGAAACCTGAATGTTGGACAATTACATATGAGAAATCTCAGTCATTGGTATCAATACCCTAATACAGGGAAGCAATCCTAGTTCAGACAAGCCTCAAGTAGTAACAGCGTGGTACAGGAATAGCAACCATAGTAACTAGTCAATGAAAGGAGATACCATAGGAATTTCCCTAAGGCACCAGGAACTATGATTTTTTCATCTGTTTTTCACAAAGAGATGCTGGAAGCTAATATCTGAGGCTTAGTGAATACATTTGCCCTCCATATAAACTCTTGAGCTAAAAGCCCCTTCCATGTGAATGACTGTGGGTATCAAATTATCATGACGGAACATCCTCTGACAATAGTCATTATCTGGCACCCTCAGGGGGAGACCAGGGGAAAGGCATCTGCAACAAAATACTGGTTAATGAGACATATTTCTGTCTAAATATGTCACAGTGCTACAAATGCAAGCCTTAGTCATTTTCAATATTGGACAATTGAGCATACAAGCCCAAAAAAGATTCTGAATTTAGAGTTAAAAGCTCTGCTAACTGCCACAGCAGATTAGCTTTTCTCTTCTTCAGCCCAAAAATGGGGACAATTACCAATATTTTACCCAAGTCAGTTCATTCCAAACCCCAAAGGAATTGTCACCAGAATGTATTATCTTGCAGTCTTTTGGAGGGCAACCTTATAGGTCCTCAGGTCTGTCTGAGGAGCCTGGTGTAGTTAAGATTGGTCATTAACGTGATTGGTCAGCGTCTTTAATCAAGAAATCATTCCATAGCAGCCAAGATGTGGATGAAAAAGATGTCCAAAAGGATGGCAATCAAGTCTTTGAGGAGATGTCTAAGGCATTTATTGTTCAGATCCTTGGGAAGGAATAGTGGCAGGGTGACAGATTTATGGTCACAGACACACAGGGCATGGTGGCAGGAGATCACATGTTGTTCTCTGAGCAAACATAGGCGGTGTGTAAATGAAATTTGCCGTAGAAATTCATGGAGTCTGTCTCAGGCGAGTACGTGCAGGAGAAAATGGGCTACTACGCACTCTGATTGGTTTATATAGTCACTTGCCTAAAATCACAAGGCTGGGGCAGAGTGAATATATATATTTATACATAAACATAATATATATTATAATAGATATTAAATATATGTAATATATATGTGTATGTATAAAAAACAACGTTACTTAACGTGTGTCCTGAAGACTGGCAGCATCAGCATTGTCTGAATCTAGAATCATCCAAAAGTGCAAATTCCCAGGCCCCACCCTAGGCGTGCAGGAAACAGAATCTGAGTAATTTGTTTTAAGAAGCTATCAGGTGATTCTTACATACAGTAAAGTTTAAGAAGCACTTCTCTAGACCTTTATCTGATGGGTCAATAATTACCACATCTCTCCACTTCCACCTACTCACCCAACTAGGCTGGCTTCTTCATCTTTCTGCCCTGCAGTTCTCTTCTCATGATAGCACCTGATTAGGCCATCTGATTATATATAAGAGCTCAGTTTGGAATTTCTGTCACCCACAAAAATCGGAATTTTAGGTATGAAAAGAAGCTGTGTAGACTCAGTAGAACTACTCATTTTTAGCCTTGTGATTTGGTTTGCACCAGGCAAAACTCATTTATAACTTCTTTCCAGTTTCTGTTCATTTCCAAGCTAACAATGACATAAATAAAGGGATGAAAAAAGGAGGCAAACACTTACCTGGGCTGTAAGTTGCTCCTGGAAAGCTTTTACTTCAGCTTGCAATTTCTGGATGCACTGAAAAGGAGACAAGTTTAGAAACTAAGTGTGTAACTCTTTCTTTTACATACTCAACCTATTGCAGACATAAATGTGTATCAGTTTTCAAATCTTGTGAATGGCAGCATTATTTCAGCTACAGGTGTTGAAAATTGTCATTGGAGAAATCATCCCACCATTCCTATTTCTCTTCCATTTTATGAAAGAGTCCAAAATAAAAACACACAAATATATTAAGAACTAGGATATGCCTGAGTAAGATAATGTTAGCTTGACATGCTACGGTTAATGCAAATGCCCCTATATCATATATATATATGATATGTATATCATATATATTGCGCATATATATATATATATATGCCTTCACATGAGAGCATATTCGTATATTCCAAGAGCAGATGCAAACCCTTTGGACTTAACAAGAGCTAAATTTATATAATGATATATATTTTAACACTCAGATACTCAGAGATTAATCATTTCTTATAAAGTAATTGATTAAGAAACATATGCCAAATGTTATGATCCTCTTGTTTTACTGCACAGAAAGAAACACTCCAATGTTGACAACTGACAGACATTTGTGCAGGCAATACCATTTATAAAATAAATAGAATATTCAGCTAATATTATTCAAAAGGATACATATCAAACAAACTTTAAAACTACTACTAGCAAAATAAATTTTATGTCAATATTCATCAGGGAATAAAATTACTTTTAGCAAATACAAATATTGTTATTTACCATTGTGAACTTAAAAATATGAACTTTTAATCCAGACTGAAATGGTTTTCCAGGATTATCAGTTCATATAAAATTAGGTAACTATTAAAATAAAGATGATGTTGTTCTACAACATACCTGGTTTTTCACAAGAACCATTTTTTCATATGGTTCCCCACTGGCTTCCTTGTGGTCCACAGCCTCCAGTTTTTCCTCCAGCCGGGATACTTGTTCAAGCAGTTTTGACTTTGTTCCTTCAGAGACTGAAAGCTAAAGATATTTTCTTTATAAGAGTATGTAAGTACAGTGATGTTTTAAAAGCTCCTTTTAAAAATTCAACTTAGAAATAATTTATTTTCCACCAGTATCTATTAAATATGAAAACAGCTTCTGGAGCATTCCTCATAAATGATAAATTAGCATAGAGAAAGAAGGAAAAAATTGATTTTATTTATTGTTTATAACTAAGATCTTTCTGAACAAGAGATGAAATCACCGAGTTACAACGGAGAATATAGAAATACTAGAAATAGTGAAATTTCTAGTGCAAAGATCTCAACACTCATCTTCACTGGGTTTCAAGATTGCACTTTATTTGTACAGCTGAATTTGAAACTTGTATTGTGATTTATATATGGTCCTTGAAACTTAACTCTTAGGCGGCTACAGCTATCTAGAAAGAGGGGGAGTTCTGACTCTCCTGAATGTTCGCCACAGAAGCGGCAGGGTGCATAGAACTGGGGTATATGCAGGAATTTCAAGTTAAAGTCTGATCAAAGGCAGATCTATGCTAAGCCACAACCAAAAAATTCCTAGCAATGACTTTGTCTTTGTTTGACTGTTTGTAGATTCCTCTTGAGGAAAGTGGTAGTATGATAGTCCTTAGTCTCTAATTCCCTTGGAGAGTGCCTGTACTAGCGTCTCCTTTCATTCTGACAGCTATTGTGCTTTTTCTCTACAGTTCAGCAACAATCCTGAAAGACTCCCTGGAAAGGGACATACAAGTCTGTATTCACTGCAACTCAACTCCCAGGGTACTCTCTGAAGCATGGATTATCTCTACATTTCTTTTGCATTACTCTGAATGTTGTTGCAAGGCAAGTTGTCTCATCTTGAAAAAACTTAATTGTCCTTAGATTTTTAAAGACAATCTATCAAATGTGGAAGCATGAAGAATTCAGTCTGCCAAGGAAATAAGCATGTTCTCTATACTGGCCCATCATACATACTGGCGTATCATATATACTGTGAGCACATCATACACACCGGCACCAAACTATCCAGCCACACACTCATTCACCGGACATATGTTTGTTCAGTTGCCTCCTCCACAGCCATTGTGTTACGTGCCGCAGATTGAGAAAGTGCAAAATAAGGGTTAGAGGGAACACACATGTTACAAACTGCTGGCCATGCCTTTTGGCTCTTGGTGGCCTTGGAGACCAGCGGTGCTCCTCATGATCACTAGCACGTGTTTAACTCCTGAGTCCATGGTGGTTTGGGATTGCAGTCTGGCTTCTCTGCCTACCCTTCTATTTTATTAGAGACACAGTATAATGTGATGGTTAAAGCCAAGGAGTCTTGTGTCTTTATTCTTTGGGTAAAAAAAAAAAATCTCAGTTTTGTACAAAAATTAGCCAGGCATGGTGACAGGTGCCTGCAGTCCCAGCTACTAGGGAGGCTGAGGCAGGAGAATCGCTTGAATCCAGGAGGCAGAGGTTGCAGTGAGCCAACATCACACCATTGCACTCCAGCCTGGGGAACAGAGTGAGACTCCGTCTTTAAAAGAAAAAAAAAAAAAAAAAACTCAATTTTGCTGTTTGCTATCTGTGTGATCTCAGCAAGTTACTCAACCTACCTGGGCTTGAGTTTTTTAATCTGTAAATCGCGATGGGGATGAAAAGAATACTACTTATCTCATGGGTTGGTTTTAAGGATTACATGAGTTTAAACAACAGAAACATTTAGAACAATATCTGGAACATATCAAGCATCTAGCAGCTCTTATTATAATTATTCTTCTACCTCTTCTAGATCACAGTATGTGTTTTTCTGGGTTTTATCTAAATATTTATCAATTTTGTGTGTGTGTGTGTGTGTGTGTGTGTGTGTGTGTGTGTGTGTGTGAGATAGAGTCTCACCTTGTCACCTAAGTTGGAATGCAATGGCGCGATCTCCGCTCACTGCAACCTTCACCTCTTGGGCTCAGGGGGTCCTCCCACCTCAACCTCCTGAGTAGGTGGGACTACAGGCTCACACCACCATGCCTGGCTAATGCTTTGTATTTTTGAGATGGGTTTTCACCATGTTACCCAGGCTGGTCTCGACCTCCTGAGCTCAAGTGATCCGCCCGCCTCGGCCTCCCAAAGTGCTGGGGTTACAGGTGTAAGCCACTGTGCCCAGCCTATTTATCAAATTTTAAAACAAAAACAAAATATCTGAAGACATCATAATCTTTATGAGCTGCATACCCTGAACTCAAACTATATTTGATTTGTTCATTTCCTATAACCACTCTAATGTTCAGAGAAATCTCTTCTCTATGTCTGGAATTATTTTTTTCTCATATATAATCTCTCTCAGTCGGGTCCATTTTATTCCCATATCCTGTTTGTTATGTGATCCATCGTTACCATTTTATTGTCTTTCTTTTAAATCTACCTTCTATTGTTTGAAAGCCTCTATTCGTTCACTCAGAAGACATCATTTATTCACTCATTTGTTAAAGAAATAAGTGGGACATTTATTATATGTAAGAATTTGTAGATTAAAAAATGAAAACAAGGTTGTTCACATCCTCAAAAAATTCATACTTTAACCAGAAAGTCAGATCATTTAAAAATAGCTATTATATAATGCAAAACTATATAGGTGAATAAATAATATTAATAGTAGTTAACATTTCCTGGGTACTTACTACATGTCAGACAGTCTGCAGAGCCTTTTGTTTTCAAATTTATTTTAGTATCTCAATTTATCTTCAAAACATCCTGAAGGTTCATTTTATTATAGCTCCCATTTTGCAGATAAAGAAGTTGAGTTTCAACAAAATTATATGACTTATCAAAGGATATAGCAAGTAAGTTCTGGAATTCAACTTTTTAGTAGTGGACATCAGGTTTGACTCCCTACACCCAAATTTGACCCCAGCTCCAAAATAGGCCCTGGTCATCATGACAATTCTATCCTCTATGCTGTTGATTGGTTCAGGAATCAAAGCATAAACTAATCATAGCCTGGCTTTCCTGTAGCAACAGTTATCGTGTAAGGAGATGTGACCTAATTTGGGTTACTCACACTGCACAGAATTGGAGAGTGATTTGGAGAAGCACACTCTGTCACTGACCAGACGCGAATGCTACTACAGCCATCCTACAGACATCAGGAAACCAGGCATACTCAGAAAGGAAGAGTAAACAACAGAAAAAACTTAAGTTCTTGATGACATTATTAAAGTGTTTTATTAACCAATCTTGAAGCACACCCTACCCTGCAACTTGCACTTAGTGGGTCAATAAATTCCTTTATTGTTTAGGGAGTTGAGTTTTCTATTACCTGTTGCCAAAAGTATTCTACGGATATGCTGTTTGGTATCAAGATTCCATGTTCTTGACCACGAGTAAGAAAAGTTTATGAAAAACAGCAGAAACTAACATATGTTTGGTAGACATAGTATACTAGGCATTCTGCTGGGTGCTACATATATAAATGTTACCTTACGTCATTGCTCAAAACCCTATCAGCAATTTTCTTTATATTTTTGTTATCATCATCAAAAATATTGAGAAACTAAATGCTTTAGTGGTGAATTAACTTGTGTAAGATTCCAAAGCTAATAAGAAGAGGTTAGATTTAGGCCCTCATTTGTCTGCCTCCATTCCTGGTTTTATATCATATCCAAATCCTAACTCAGACTGCCTGTCACAATGAGGCCTGTGATGTGTTTTTCCTTACCATATGGACTTCAGCAATATTTCTCAGGATCTTAACTTATATACTTACAGGAATTTTTTTCTAATATCTTAGAATTCTCTCTAACCCACCATCTTGCTTCCTTTTATACAGACACTAACCCCTTATTTCCTCTCCTTTTGTAATAAGTTTCTTACTGAATATCTCTTTAACTCAGATATATTTAGCTCAGGTTCAGCTTAATTCTAAGAAATGTTGACTTAGAATCAGGATACCTATGCTTTAGTCTTAATTCCACAACTCACTGACTCTATAACCTTGGTGCCTATAATAGGATTTTAAAAATAATTTCAACTTTTTTTTTTAGATTCAGAAAGTGTATGTACATATTTGTTACATGGGTGTATTGCGTGATGCTGAGGTTTGGGATATGAATGGTTCCATCATCCAGGTAGTGAGCATAGTACCCAACAGGTAGTTTTTCAGCCCTTGGTCCTCTTCCTCCCCTCCCACCTCTAGTAGTCCCCAGTGTCTTTTGGTCCCATCTTCGTGTCCATGTGTACCCAGTGCTGAGCTCCCACTTATAAGTGAGAACATGCAGTATTTGTTTTTCTCTTCCTGTATTAATTTGCTTAGGGTAATGGCCTCCAGCTGCATCCATGATGATGATTTCATTCTTTTTATGACTGTGTAGTATTCCATGGTGCATTTGCACAACATTTTCTTTATTCAATCCACTGTTGATGGGCACCTAGGTTGATTCGATGTCTTGCTATTGTGAATAGTGCTGCGATGAAGTTCATATGTCATTTTGGTAGAACAATTTATTTTCCTTTGAGTATATACCCAGTAATGAGATTGGTGGGTTAAATGATAGTTTTATTTTAATTCTTTGAAAAAATCTTCAAAATGCTTTCTAAATTAGTGACTGAGCTAATTTACATTCCTACCAACAGTGTACAAGTGTTCCCTTTTCTCAGCAGCTTCGCCACCACTTGTTATTGTCTTTTTAATAATGGCCACTCTGACTTGTGCGAGATGGTACTGCATTGTGGTTTTGATTTGTGTTTCTCTGATGATTAGTGATGTGGAGCACTTTTTCATACATTTGTTGGCTGCTACATATCTTCTTTTGAGAAGTGTCTGCTCATGTCTTTTGCCCACTTTTTAATTTTTTTAATTTTTCACTTATTGAAATGTTTAAATTTCTTGTAGATTCTGAATATTAGACCTACGTTAAATGCATAGCTTGAAGATTTATTCTCCTACTCTGTAGGTCATCTGTTTACATTGTTAATAGTTTCCTTTGTGGTACAGAAGCTCTTTAGCTTAATTAGGACCCACTTTTCAATTTCTGT